CACTATGACCAGGTAGGATTTATACCAGGAATTCAGACCTAGTTCAATATCAGGAAAGCTGTCAGTGTAATTGACCATATCAATAACAAAACAATAAAAGAATGAAAATCACATGATTATATCAATAGGTGCAGAAAATGCTTTTGACAAAATAGAACACCCATTCCTATTAAAAACACTAGAAAGCTTTGAAATCAACAGAACCATTCTTAAAATGATAAGTAATATTTATCCAAAACCAAGAGAAAGCATTATCTATAATGGGGATAAACTAGAAGCCTTCCTAGTAAGATCAGAGATGAAGCAAAAATGTCCACTATTATTCAGTAGTGTACTAGAAATGCCAGCTATAGCTATGACAAGAAAAAGAAATTTGAAGGGATAATAAGCAATGAGGAAACAAAACTATTACTCAGCAGACAATATGATGGTATACTTAGAGAACCTTAGAGAATCAACTAAAAAACTACTAGAAACAATTAACAACCTTGGCAAAGTTGCAGGATATAAAATAAACCCACACAGATCATCAGCATTTCTATATATTACCAACAAAACCCAACAGGAAGAGGTAGAGAAATTCCATTTAAAATAATTGCAGACAATATACAGTACTTAGGAGTTTACCTGCCTTTTTACCTACAAGGAACTATATGAGCACAATTACAAAACACTTTTCATGTAAATAAATGCAGATCTAAACAATTTCTTAGCTAGGTGACTCAGTGGATAGAACATTAGGCCTATAGTAAGGAAGACCTGAGTTCAAATCCAGCCTTGGACACTTACTAGCTGTGTGACCCTGGGCAAGTCACTTAATCTCTGTTTGCCTTAATCCATTGGAGAAGGAAATGGCAAACCATTCTAGTATCTTTGCCAAGAAAGTCCTGTGGACAGTATGTTCCATGGAGTCATGAAGAGTTGGATATAACTGAATGACTGAACAACAACGACATTATAAAAGAATGTTAATATCCATTGTGTTGGTCTCACCTCTGAAACATGAAGAAAATGCAGTGAAATGCCTATTCTTTTCTATGTAAAATTTAGAGCAGCTAGGTGGCACAGTGGCTAGAGTAGCAGTCCTGGAGTCAAAAAGACCCTGAAGTCAAATCCGGCCTTAAAAACTTAATGGTTGTGTGACCTTGCACAAGTAATTTAACCCTGTTAACCTCAGTTTCCTCATCTGTAAAATGAGCTGGCAAAGGAAATGGCAAACCACTCCAAGTATCTCTGCCAAGAAAACCCCTAATGGAGTCACAAAGAGTTGGACGTGATGGAATAATTTGGAGAAATATTAATTGCTCATGGGTGGTCAAGCCAATATAATAAAAATGACAATCCTGTCTAAGTTAATTTACTTATTCAGTGCCCAATCAAACTACTGAAGAATTATTTTATAGAACTAGGAAAAATCATAACAAAATTCATCTGAAAAAACAAAATGTCAAGAATATCAAAGTGATCTTTTGGAAGTTCCTGAATTTGTCTTGGCAGATAGACTCCCAAGTATTTTATATTGTCTGCAGTTATTATAAATGGAATTTCTCTATCTTCAGGGGGTCAGCTTCAGGAGGACAGGGACAAGGAGCTGGGGAAAAGGTAGAAGCCGGGAATGAAACATGAAGAATTCTAGTGGGACCCAGCAATACTATTTCCAGTTCTGTATCCCAAGGAGATCATAAAAACGGGAAAAGGACCCATGTTACAAAAATATTTATAGCAGCTCTTTTTGTGGTGGCCAAGAATTGGAAATTGAGGAGATGCCCATCAACTGGGGAATGGTTGAACAAGTTGTGGTATGTGAATGTGATGAAGTACTATTGTGCTATAAGAAATGATGAGCAGGCAGACGTCAGAAAAACCTGGAAAGATTTGTATGGACTGATGCTGAATGAAGTGAGCAGAAACAGGAAAACGTTATACATAGTAACAGTCATGTTGTGTGATGACTAACATTGATAGACTTAGCTGTTCTCAGCAATGCAAGGATCTAAGACATCTCCAAAAGTCTCATGATGGAAAACCCTATCCACATCCAAAGAAAGAATTTGAATGCAAATTGAACATTCTATTTGCTCTTTTTTTTTCTTCTGTTTTGTTTTGTTTCCACTTTCTTGTGGTTCCTTCTGTTGGTTCTAATTCTTCCTTACAACATGACTAATGTGAAAATATGTTTAATAGGAATATATATGTATAGCCTATATCAGATTATGCACCATCTTGGGGAGGGAGGTGAGAGGGAGGGGGAGAAAAATTTCAAACTCAAAAGCTTATGGAAGTGATTGTTGATAAATCAAAATAAATTAATAAAGTACAGAAATGATGAGCAGGTGAACTTCAGAAAAACCTGGAAAGACATATATGAACTCATGCTAAGTAAGGTGAGCAGAACCAGGAGAACACTGTACACAGTAACAGCCACATTGTGCAGTGACTGACTTTGATAGACTTAGCTCTTCTCAGCAATGCAGGGATCTAAGACAACTCCAAAAGAGTCATGATGGAAAATGCTAACCACATCCAGAGAAAGAACTAGGGAGTCTGAATACAGATCGAAACATATTATTTGCTCTCTTTTTTTTTTTTGGTTGTTTTGGTTTTTTTTTTCTTCTTTCTCATGGTTCCTCCCATTGGTCCTATTCTTCTTTACAACATGACTAATGTGAAAATATATGCAATATGAATATGTTTAGAACTTATATCAGAATGTACATCATCTTGAGGAGGGGAAGAAAATTTAAAACTCAGAATCTTATGGAAGCCAATGTTAAAAACTAAAAATAAATAAATTTTTAAAAATGAAATAAAATGTAAAAAAATATTCTAGTGGGGAGAAGAATGAAGAGTCTATTTTTAAACTTTATATTGTTTAAGAAGAGCTTTAGTCATAAAATATTTACAGACTAGTAAGTATCTGCCATGAATTAAAATGTCTGATAGCTTCTGCATGTCATCAAGTGGTTCTCCCCTAGTTGGAGACTCAGGGAATTGTCTGGATGCTCTTAGCTAATTTGGCTTTGATTTGGCTAGATTCTAGAACCAGGAACAGGAGATTTGATTCTTATGTCTGTGTTTTACCTCTGTTTGCATCTGAGAGACAATATAGTGTAGTTGTGAAAAGACTTGAATTGAAATTCTGGCTCTAACACTGTTATAGGCCAATTAATTAACTTCTTTTTCTGTAGAATAAGGGAAATAATTCTTTTAGGAAAGCAAAAAAAATCAGAAGCAGACACAAATACAGCAATTTTGTTAACTATTGTGTTGAACTCAATATACTCTAATATAGAAATCTATCTTACTTACCCTACAGGAAAGTAGGAGGGGAAGGGAATAAGAAAAGGCAGGGAAGTGATAGAAGGGAGGACAGATTGGGGGAGGGGGTAGTCAGAAGCAAAACACTTTGAAGGAGGGGACAGTGAAAGGAGAGAGAATAGAATAAATGAGGTACAGTGGAATAGGATGGAGGGAAATGCAGCTAGCAATAGTAACTGTGGAAAAAAATGTTGAAGCAAGTTTCTCTGATAAAGGCCTCATTTCTCAAACATATAGAGAACTGAGTCAAATTTATAAAAATAAGAGCCATTCACCAATTGGTAAATGATAAAAAGATATGATCAGTTTTCAGATGAAGTAGTCAAAGCCAACTATAGCCATATGAAAAAATAATCTAACTCACTATTGATTGTAGAAATGCAATTAAAACAATTCTGAGGTACTTCCTCATACTTAATAGATTGGCTAATAGGACAGAAAAGGTAAATGAAAAATGTTGGAGGGGATATGGGGAAAAATGAGACTTTAATGCACTGTTGGTGGAGTTGTGAACTGATTCAACCATTCTGTGGAACAATTTGGAAATATGCCCGAAGGGCTATAAAACCATTCATACCCTTTGACCTAGCAATACATACTAGATTTGTATCCCAAAAGACATTAAAAAAATAACAAAAAGAAAAGGATCTATATGAACAAAAAATATTTATAGTAGCTCTTTTCTGGAGGTAAAGAATTAGAAGCTGAGGGGATGCTCATCAGTTGGGGAATGGCTGAACAAGTTTTGCTATGTGATTATGATGGAACATTAATGTACTGTAAGAAATGATGAGCAGGATGCTCTCAAAAAAATCTGTAAAGACTTGGATGGGCCGATGCAAAATGAAATGTAATGTGTACAAAGTAACAGCAATATTGTAAGATAATCAGCTGTGAATGACTTAGCTATTCTTAGCAATATAATGATCCAAGACAACTCTGAAGGACTTACGGTGAAAAATGTTATCCCCAGAGAAAAAACTGATGATGTCTGAATACAGATTGAAGCATAGTTTTGTTAAGACTTTCTTTATTTTTCTTGCGGTTTTTTTTTCTTCTCTATGTTTTCTTTCATAGCATGACTACTATGGGATATGTTTTGCATGTATAAACTTAAAAATGATATCTTGGGGTTTTAAAAAAGAAAGCTATAATGATATAATAATAACAATAATAGCTAGCATTTATATAGCACCTGCCATGTTCTAGGCATTATACTAAATGCTTTACAAATTGTATCTCATTTGATCCTCACAACAGCCCTGTAAGGTAGGTGAAATTATTATCCTTATTTTACAGTTGAGGAAACTGAGGCAGACAGAGGTTAAGCGAGTTGTTCAGGGTCACACAGCTAGTAAGTGTCTGAGGCTGGATTTGTTTCCAGTCTTCTTGCTTAAGACCCAGTGCTTTATATGTAACAAAATTCACAGGTTCATATATAATCCTTTTTAGTCCTTTCTTCCATATTGAAATGTTCATATTTGTTGATGATAATAAGTTCATGATAAAATAATTTTTAAAAAATTTTTAAAAAATTTTTTAGTACATACCTCAACAAGTTTGTTTTGAGGCTCAACTGAGATAATGTGTGTTAAGTGCTTTTGTACCATATAGATGCCAACTTTTATTTCCTTCCTTTTATATGCATTATTAGGTTTGAATGACATGTCTTTCTCTGTTAGGCTTGACAGTGACTGCTGTGAAGGATTCTGGGGAATGGAATTTGGAAGCTGGAGCATTAGTCCTTGCAGATGGAGGTCTCTGCTGTATTGATGAGTTTAACAGCCTCAAGGAGCATGATAGAACCAGTATCCATGAAGCAATGGAACAGCAGACCATCAGCGTTGCTAAGGCTGGGTAAGATTTTCTTTTTAGAAGTCTGTGATGGCTGACCTGTGGATTTGTTTTGCTTGATTATGCTAACTTATTAGAAGGGAGAGTTGTTTTTAATTTTGGGGGTGGGCAAATGGGAGCTTAGAAAGAAAGAAAAGGACGTCAGTGAAGCACCTTTTAAAATGCACATCAGAGGTCAGAAGGAAGTTCAGAGGGCAGCACAGACAAGTGAGACTGCTTTGGAATTAACATGTTAAATTTAGTGGATAGATGAATAGAGAGATAATGTATGCTAATATGTGTATATATTAAACTACATAACGAGATTCATAGTTTTGTATGTATAAACGATGCCCTGCTTGTCTCTGTCCCCTTCTGAACGTTCTGCTCTCTTCTGTGTATTTTTGTAAAGTTTCATTGATGACTCTTCTTTTTTCATCACTATCACTAATTACTCCCACAAATTCTCTCCTTGAAAAGCCTCCCAAAGTAATCAATAAATGTAGACAAACACAACAAATTGACAACTAGTTATGACTAAGAATATATATTTTATTCTGTGTATCTAATCCATCTCCTCAGTCTTCTGTAGTCCTGATTGATCATTGTGTTGATCAAAGTTCTTAAGACTCAGTCATTTTATTTTACTGTAGTAATTGTATAAATTGTTCTTGTTCTCCCCATTTCAATCTGCATCCCTTTCTGGAAATCCAGATTTCTCTGAATCTGCCCCTTTCATCACTTCTCAAAACATTGTTATAACACATAACATTTATATGTCATAATTTTTAAAATTAAGTATTATTTTATTTTTAATTCTGAGTTCTCTCCTTTCTCCAGCCGTTGAAAAGTCAAGAAAAACAAAACTCTTTACAAATATATATAGTCATACATAATTTCCTCTATTAGCCGTGTCCAAAAAGAAAAGAAAATATGTTTCAATCTGTGCTCTGATCTGTCAGCTCTCTATCTGGGAGCAGATAGCATGTTTCATCATGAGTCCTTTGGAATTGTGGTTGGTCATTGTATCAAAGTCAGTTATCTTTAAAATACTGTTGTTATTGCATAAATTGCTTCCCTGGTTCTTATCACTTAACTGTGCATACAAGTCTTCTCTGTTTTTCCTGAAACCATCCCCGTCATCATTTCTTACAACATAAAAGTATTTTATCATATTCATATACCATAATTTATTCAGCCATTCCCCAGCTGATGAGCACCCAGTTTGTTTCCAGTTGCTTGCTACGACAGAAAATGCTGCGATAAATATTTTTATGTATTTGTGTCTGTTCCCTCTTCCTTTCATCTCTTTGGGGGGTGTATGTCTGGTAGTATCCAGTCAGGAGATATTCCCAGTTTAGTGACTTTGGTTATATAATCAATCAATCAACACGTATTTGTTAAGCGCTTAATATGTTCTAGTCCCTGTGCTAAGCACTGAGTATACAAAGAAAAAGCAAACTAGGGGCAGCTAGGTGGCAAAGTGGATAGAGCTCTGGCCTTGGAGTTAGGAGGACCATAGTTCAAATCTGGCCTCAGACGCTTGACATTTACTAGCTATGGGACCCTGGGCAAGTCACTTAACCCCGATTGCCTCACCAAAAATCAAAGAAAAAAAAAAAGAAAACTAATCTATACCATCAAAGAACTCATGTTCAGATGGGGGAGACAGCCTGTGCACAAATAGGTACAAACCTGATAATATCACAAAGGTGGAAGGTAACTTTAGAGAAGACAGAAGCAGCTGGGGGGATGAGGAAAGTCCTCCTACAGAATAGTTCCAAATGGCTTTCCAGAATAATTGGATCAGTGTATAGCTATTCCAACAGTGCACTAGTTTGCCTGTCCTCCCACAGCCCCTCTAATAATTGCCATATCTCTCTTTTGTCATCATTGCCTATGTGCTGGGATGAGGTAGAATGAAAGTTTCACTGCTGTTATCATTGAGAGACAGTGGAGTATTAATGGATAAAGAACCATCCTTAGAGCCAAGAAGCCCTGAGTTCATGTCCTACTTCTGACACATCTTGGAACCCTTAACAGTCACTAAACCCCTCAATGTTCTAGATAACTCTCTAGGACTATAAGTACTAGATATAACCCACATTGGTAGATGGAGTTTCCCTAGCTTAGAGTTCCTTATACCAATTATATCACAGATCTAGAGTCTTTGTCCCTACCTTATTCTTCTCTTATGAGTAGTGATTTGAATCATTTCTTCATTTGATTATTGACAACTTACACTTCTTTATTTGAAAACAGTTTGTTCCTGTCCCTTGACCACTTTTCCACAAGGGAATAGCATTTAGTCTTATGTATTGGTATCAATTCCTTGCATATATTGGATATCCACTTGTATCAGAGGAATTTGCTGCTTCCCTTCATATATATTCTAACTGGATTGGATGTTGGATGTTTTGTGCAAAACCTTTTAAATTTTGTGTAATGAAAACGGTTCATTTTCCTTTTCCAATCACTTCTGACCCCTAGGTGGGGCTTACTCTCATCTTGTGGGCCTAAGGAAGATGCCGTACAAGCCCATTCAGATTGCTTATGCTGCAGTACCACTATTGACCCCAAGTGTTACATGCCAGACACACAGTTTGTAACACTCTTATCTAGTAAATTCCAGAATGGAAAGAAGTTTGTTCTCAAAACATTATATCAGACCAAGTCCTAAACAAATTCAATTCAGTGAATACTTATTGACTTTCTAGAGCCTTGTTGTGGTTATTGTTACCTTTAAAAAGCCTTTTAAGATGCATAAAAGAATAATATTTATGTCATCATTGTTATGATGAATTTTTTATTTTTAAAAAATTATTATTGATTATATGATGAACTTTCAACAAGTCTCCATGGTGTACATGGTGCATTGTGACACAGGGAGAAAAGCAATGAGGTCCAAGACCTATGGGACAAGTTTTGGTTTTGCCACTTGTTGATTGTTTTGCTTTAGTTGAGTAACTTAACCCTTCCTAGCCACAGTTTCCCCTCTCTACCATGGGAATAATGACGCTTTTGCCCAGCTGCTTCACAAGTTATGATGAGGATTGAATGAGATAATGTTGCATTGAAGTGCATACACAAACAAATGAATGATAAGGCATTTATTAAGTATTTACTGAATGGCAGGCACTGTGCTAAGCACTGGGGATACAAAGCGACAAGAAAAACAGTCCCTGTCCACAAAGAAGACAACACATAAAGGGGAATTAGAAACGGGACAGACACAGTGTGTCCAGAGAATGGAGGGGAGATGACAAGCATAGCAGCATCATTTGGAAATGGCCAAGAAGTGATGAAAAGGCCTGATTCCAACCAAATTACAGCAAAAGCTCACCCAGCAGAGCCCAGCGTCCCAGGGCAGAGTCCATTGTTCACTGGGAGGAGAATGAGAAGGATGAGGAAGTGGAACAGAGTGCAGATGAAGTTTGAACGTGGGCAGGAAGTATAAGGAATATATAAGATAAAGGGTGCATGACATTGGATATTGTTATTGTTGTTGTTGTTGTTGTTGAGTCACATCTAACTATTTGTGACCGTGTATGAGATTTTCTTGGTAAAGATACTGGAGTGGTTTGCCATTTCCTTCTCCAGTGGATCCCAGGGTCACATAGCTAGAGAGTGTCTGAGGCCAGATTTGAACTCAGGTCTTTCTGACTCCAGGCCCAGTGCTCTATCCACTGAACCACCTAGCTGCCCAATAATGGATGGCTTGTCCTTTTTCTTTTAACCTCCTTTAAATATTACCCTATTTTGATTGTTCAAATTATTCAAGAAATAAGTGTAAGATGGCTCTGTCTGTCTTAATGTTCCATTTTAACAATGCTTGGGATCCTATGGTGTCCTTCAAATTCACTAATAGTCATATTTGCAAAAATTACTTTCTGGTCTGTTCTTCATGATAAAAGAGCTAACACTCCCCTTTGCCTGATCCACGCCAACCACTTAATGACGAGCATCCATTATCATCTGGAAGGCCTTTATTTCTATTGGAATGCAAGAATGTGAACCATAAATCTACAAATTACTTTTTCTTGCTCTAATATTATAATTTAATTTTCATTAAAACCATAGAAATGGTAGGATATGTATTCAGTTCCCTTCTACCTTGGTTTCTAAGTTCTTTAGTTAACAGTGTTTCCAAGGTAATCTAAAGCATGGTCCATCTCTAACAAAGAGATAACAAAATTTCATGGAATTCAATTACTAGAAGGAATCTTAGAGTCCAACACCCTCATTTTATAGCTAAATAAACTGAGATCCAGAAAGATTGCAACTTTCCCAGGATCACATAGCTAGTGAGCAAGATAGCTGGAACTGGATCCCAGGGCTCTTGACTCTTAGTTGAATGCTCTTCACATTACACCATATTCTGATGGCTCCTTTTCTTTATGACTTTTAAATAAGATTTCTCAGAGCTGTCACCATCACTAAGCAGCCAAATAAATAAAATATAGCTAATGAATGTCTCCTTAAAAGAAAAAAAAACTGGAATTCTTGGATTTAGTAAAAACCAACAAATGAACCTCTTTCTAAGCCATTCTGTCAGAGACAAGGATAGGAAGAGTCCTTTGGGTCTTTCTTATCCTGCCCTTTATGTTACCAATTTCGAATGTTTTTGATAAAGAGGGTGTTCGTTGTCCCCATTACACTTGAACTTCACCATATTTCTAAGAGATTACTGAGACATTAAGGAGGAAGGCTTCATAAGCTAAGCAACAAACCAAGAAATCAGAGACTCTAGTTTGGAAATCCTAATTCCTAGGACATATTAGCCATATCGGAGTATTGAATATAGTAATTATGCACCACCCAAAGTATGAAACTGAAGAGGTACAATTAATTATGTGCCTTCCAGAATACAATGATGCCCTCTCTTGAAAGCTTAGAGAGAAACAGCATCTCTGTAGCTCCCAAATAATCGTAAAGGCATAAACCTAAAGAGGAGGCAAGTGGCTTTGGCTTCCAGCTGTCCTGGAGGTCTTTTTACTTTTTAACATTAACAATGGTAAAGTGAG